GATTAGGATCTCGTCATCTTTGGGAGAAGATGTGGTCCTCTGTCTGCCACACACATGAAGAACCATCCAATCAAGCCATGTGTCCAACATGTGGATTTGTTCCTCAGGGTGCCTGGTAGTAGTTTTCTGCTTCATACTTGAATATTGTAATGACCCAGAGCACGCTATCACGTCACCCTGTCTCTATCCAATGAAGGTTGTCCCGTGAACAGAAGTCAGAATTTCAAAACTGATCCAACCAAAGCACAGTAGCACATTACTGTCCTTGCTCAAGTCGTTTGTGGTGACAAAGGCAGATTTGCAGTAGCTTGTTTGATGGCTGTTCTCACTCTGTTGAAATGTATTTTTTCATAGGTAAAGTGGAGTTACTCAATATCTTGTATGTATTTCTTACTTTGAAGTTTCCTTGTCTATAAAAGACATATGGTAGTGCCTTCTCATAAAGTGGATGTGAGGATCTAACAAGAGGTTCTACTTCAGTGCTACACAAAACATTTAGCAGGTACTCAGTGCATTGCTGCTGCTCTTGGTTCTAAGACTACTACTTCTAGTTGAGTAGCTCTTGTCTAAAATCACTGGGAATAGGAATGTTTCCAATTTCAGAAGGTTGTTTTTTCTTAATATCAAAAATCTTCACAGACTTTACTAATTGAGCATCCCTAATCTAAAAATCCAAAATTTGAAACTCTCCAAAATCTGAAACTTTTTGAGAGTTGTATCAGCACTTAAAAAGTTCTGGATTTTCATATTAAGTATGTTCAACTTATAATACTATAGTCATCTTTGCAGTCATCTTCACAATCATCAGTAGTCTTTTAAATTCCTCCACAATTCTAAATCATTTATACTGTTTCTTTTGCATTCTGATTAAAGAACAGGACTTTTTTTTTTTTTTTCAACTTTGATGAACTGTAACAGCGCTCAGATCAGATTCTGGCTGTGTGGCTGGCTGTGTACAGTGGTTTACATGATGTGGTGATCACACATTCTGTGCCTTCATCCAAGGCATTCACAGGACAGAATCAGGGATCAAGACCTTCATCTCTTGGTAGAACCTCTTGCTTGCTTAGGTTAAACCATTAATTGTTCCATTTACTGCAAGTCACTGAACTCCTTTGACTTTGTTCTCACAGATGTGGCCTTTGCTTTATCTTGTCTACAATATTTTGAGGAGCCTTCATGTGTCTACAGGCTTCCTAGCCAAAGAGCCTGCTAAAGAGAGGAGTGTCATACACATCAGATGCACAGAATAATGAATTTGAGAGGTGTGATGTATTAATAAACACTGCCAAGAAAATAGCTTTTCACACTGGTGCTGTGACTCCATTTGATACTCACTTTATGGCTTCTCTCTTAATTACCCAAGATGCTTTCCTAATACCATTTGGGCTTATTAGTTTTCTCCAGAGCCCATCAAATGTGTTGATTTTAATTAGCACTTGTTTCAGTTTTTTCCTTCTGCGTATTTTCACAAAACATGGCACCTTTGCAGTAGAAGAACTAGCAAGCTCAGTATTCCTGGAGAGAGGCATATGTAGAATGTCATCCAGAGATGGTTCTTCTTGTCATGTATTCTCAATGCAAAGGAAGCTTGATTTAATCTAAACCATTTGCAAAAGATAAAGAAGGTTACAGGAATGATGAGGCATGGGAAAGAGAATACTAAAGCTTCTAGATGAGGTATTCTAACTTATGAATGTGCTTTATTCCAGAAGATCTGCAAATCATAGGAATGGCATAACATGACAAAGTCATCCTAACTTTTACACCACCCCACCTGCCCCATTCCTGTTTTAATAACAGAACATTTGAGCTCCAGAGGTTTCTGTTGTCCTATCTGGGCTTATGTCTCACAATAGCAGTAGCAGAAACTAGAAGCTAGATCTCCCTCTTCTGATTGTTCTGCCACCCTACAGCTTTCAGGCCTATTAAAGTGCAGGGTATCTTTCTTTAGAGAGAGAAGAATGCAGCTTCGTTATAAGCTGAGTGCTGTGAGTGCACTGAGGACCTGGTGTCCTTTATGTCTTTGCTCCTTTGTCAAAACATGCCACAGCTTACTCAGGTCCTGATGTGAGGCCTCCGCCTGTTAACCTGGTGAAAGTTAAGACTCCTCTCTCCTCATTCAATTATTCCCTATCCCTCTTCTTTGTCTTTTATCTACAGTATTAGTCATCATTCCATATGCTATATATTTTTCTTGTTTATTGATGACCTACCTCTATAAGAATCTGTAATTTTTGCTTTGTTTACTGGATGAATCTTCTAGACCTAGAATAATACTTAGGAAGAAGTGCTCAAGAAATAACTACTAATGAATACATGGGAAAGAGTTTCTTGACACTGGCTGTGCTCATGCGTACTCTCCGTCCTTTGGCCTGGCCTGTGGATGCCGGGAAACAGGTTACCTTGTGAACCTTCCTTGTTCCTCTCGGTTTTGTTGAAGTCAGAGCAGGGGTGGGCTCCAGAGGGTCGGCTGCAAACCACCTAGCCACGGAACACTCAGTCCTCATCTTGTGCCCCTACTGACCTCTATATGGTTACTCATTGTGAGAAATTCCTAAGGCAAAACAGGGAAAAAAAGAATATATTTATACATGGGATCGTTATATAGCTAGTTTCTCTTAGTTCATTGAAAATACAAGTTTGTGCTAATACTGTGTGGACAAGCTATCATGCCTATATCTTGCGCTCTGAATAACCACTAGGAAGACAACAATATACAATATATTAATTATTGTAACTCTTCTACTGACTTGTTTTATTATTTTTTCTCTCTTTAAAATTAAAAAATTTTTTCTAAGGTAAAAACTCCAGTGGTTAAAATTGTCATTAATCAGTGTACATGCAGTATATAATTCATTTGTAAGATGTGGCCCTTTCTCCACAAAGCCAAAGAATTTTGCCATTATTAGCTAACATCTTCTGCTGCAAAGTTCCTTGATTTGAATTTTTTTTTTTTTTTTTTTTTGGTATGGGGGAATTGAACTAATGACCTTGTGCTTGCCAGGCAAGTGCTTACACTGCAAGCTAATCCCCCGCCCTGAATGTCATTTTTTTACCTGACAAAAGTTTGCCTGTAGGAAAACCATCGTTAAGTCTCCTGCCAAGCCTCTACTTGGATTAGCTTGTCTGTAGACCGTTAATGTACTAGGCACTTTTGTTCCGCAAAGTTGCTGGATACAGAAGACAGAACTTGTGAGTTTTTTGTTCATCATATAATGAAAATTTTTCAGTAAATAATATTAAGTGTGTGTTTCTGTGTGTATCAAAATACGTACACATAAATTATGCCTGCCTTGAACATATACTCTTGTTATTACTCAGTAAACAATTCAGCTATTTATGTAACATTTGGCATTGTATCAGATCTTTTGAGTAATACAGATATTATTTAAAATATATAGGAAGATATGTGGAGGCTATGTGAAAACACTGTGCCATTTTATATGAGGGATTTAAGCATCATGAATTTTAGTGTCTACAGGGAGTCCTAGAAATAACCTCCCATGGAGACTGAGGGACGTCATATAGTAATAAAGTGAAATGAGCTATTTATTTGAAAGAATATGTCAAATTTATAGTATTTCTAGGGCTATCCACTAAAATTTTTAAAAAGTTTAAAAAGTGTTAAAGCAAAGAACTTCCAAGGCACATAAATATAATCTTAAAGGTATTTAAATAGGTCACTTTTCTCTTAGATTTCTAAGTTCATTGCTTTTCTAAAGTTGGTTTTTATGAGCTTCTGAAACTAATGAAATTTTGAAGTCAGAGACTTCTAAATCAATTGTTCCCACTAATTATGTTCTGTATACTCTAGGTGAGGGTTTGTTAAGGTTTAATCCTTTTTAGAATTTATACACTTCATGGTTTATGCCCATCTATTTTCTAGTCGGCCCAGGTCATTTGGGGATGATGCCATTACAAAGAGTTGGCCTTGTAAAGAAGCTGATGAGGCACCTGCTGTCTCTTCTTGGTCATGGAGAGCTGGGTCCTTTCTTGTGCACACTTTGATCAGCGAGTTTTATAAATCTTACTTGTGGACACACGTGTATGGTCATTTTTCCTTCTAGTGATTTGCTCCTTTATGGGAGGTTTTGTAAAGTTAGAATACACAGACTGTTACTTCTGAGTTTTCAAATGTCAGAGATACACGTTAAATAAAAGTGAATTCAGCCAGGCCTTCTCACCAGCACTGACCTTCAGAAAATTTCAGATATTAGCCCACTGCTTACTTATTTTTCTCTGTTCTATCCATTTGCCACTTAATTCTCTTGAGAGGTAAAAGCATGCAGTTAGCCAGCTTTGCTAGTTGGCATCAAGTTTTTCTTTCTTTCTTTTTTCCTGGCAACAATAAAAAGGGGTAAGATTAAAAGGCATTCAAGTTGTATAAATCACCAACTGAGAAAATATAAATGGTTTAATGTGTGCCTAGAAAATGTCTCATTTGTTTTATAGTTTGATGATACGAAATATTAAGTCAAGTTTGTCTGTATGGCTGAATTATTCTACATCTGTGTTCATAAAGCACTAATCTGGATTCCTCCAGCAGTGAGATCACTTTGTCTGTGAATTTTGGAAAAGATTTAAATTGCAGTTGGACTCTTTGCAGTCCTGTCATTTTATTCCATGTAGGTATTTCTTCTGTTCTCAAGTACTATGACTGTAAAGCAGTAATACTGCTTTATGTGAGCCACCTCTGCTAGACTGTCATTTTGTAATCACACTTCATAAACGAATGCAGGAAATACTGAAAAGTGGTGAGACATCACACCGCTTTCTACTCAGCCCCAGTGTTCACCACCTAATGTACATTTGCAGTATTACAATCCAGACTAGCAGAAGCTGGCTTTATTCTTCCTGCGCATTGGCAATGAGGGTGGGTACTCTTTTATAAAAGAATAAACATATTTGTACTTTATAAGCTTAGGTTTTTCTTGATAGAGTAATTTATTACACTTTCTCTGTTATAATACCATGTTTCAACTTTCTTTTTCTAATAGGCGAAATGAGGAATGATTTATATATCACCATAGAAAGGGGAGAATTTGAGAAAGGAGGGAAGAGTGTGGCCAGAAATGTGGAAGTCACCATGTTCATTGTAGACAGCAGTGGCCAGACCTTAAAGGTATGTTGAAATTGAAATTTTTTTGGTAAAATAATTCTACATAATTGCTGTGGCTTCATCTTTAAAGTAATCAGTTAATTTTTCTTTTGTAGTATTTTCTTCTCCACCTCATGTAGTTTAAAAAAAAATCATTAAAAAAATCCCAGATAATAAAATAGTAAAGCAAAAAAGCTTTTTCCATTTTGCTTAATTGTGTCAACAATTTCCTAATAGTAGTTATTCTTTAAATGCAGTATTTTTTGTCATTTGATTACACTTCCTTTCATCTACCATAGTTTTACAGATGAATCTTTTTTTGGAAATTTGTTTTAAGAAAATAATAAGAAGAAGAAGATCATTTTTGGGGCTGGGGATTTAGCTCAGCGGTAGAAGCACCTGCCTTGCAAGCAGGCGGTCGTGAGTACGATCCCTGGTACCGATAAAAATGAAAAAGACAAAAGAAAAAAAAAAAGAAGATCATTTTAAATCTATGTATTACATTAACCAGGCATGGTGCATGCCTGCAATCCCAACACTCAGGAGGCTGAGACAGGAGGGTCACAGCAAGTTCAAGGCCAGCTTTACATGGTTCAGTGTTAGCCTGAACTACATAGTGAGACCATGACTCAGAAAAAGAAAAAATTCTATGATTTATTTTTAACCACAATAGGGTATGAACACTGGGGTCCTACTTCCCAAGTGGGGTGCTAGTAGTGGGATCCTATGGAAGAGTATTTTCTGTGAGCTGCTTCTTGGTGGAGGGACACATGTGCCTGTTCCATTACAGGGTTGTCCCCAGAGCTTAGTGAGTCACTCACTGAAGCCCAGTGCAGCCTTTTGGCCTCAGCAGGATGAGAGCCTTGCTGCCTACCTGAACTCCCAAAGTGACAGAAATTAGCCATCTCTCACAGGTCTCCACAGCGCGGCCTGGGAGTTCAGCATCAGAATTCAACAAAACACTCTTATGTGTAGGAGCAAGAACAGAAACGGTGCCACAAAGGGCAGGGAGGTGATTTCACATGAGGTGCTGATTGGGAAACAGACAAATACAGCATAGTTGCTCTGCATTTCCAAAGCCAATTTTTGGACGGAGTTGTCTTTAATGCACATGTTTTCTTTGTTAGGATTTTATCTCTTTTGGCGCTGGCGAGCCACCAGCTAGTGAGTACCACTCGTTTGTGCTTTATCATAACAACAGTCCGCGGTGGTCTGAATTACTGAAGCTTCCTATTCCGGTGGATAAATTCAGGGGCGCACATATCCGCTTTGAATTTCGCCATTGTTCCAGTAAGTTTGGTGGGATTGGCTCTACGGCTTTGGGCTGGGTGGCTGCTTGCTGAGCTGTGCTGAGGATAATGGGGTAGTCTGCAAAAAGGGCGACACAGGAGAGACTTGGGGAGGGAGGATGAAGCTGAGTGAGAATTCTAGCAGGGAAGTGGGCTTACTTTTCTACAGGCTAACAACCTCTTTGGAAACAGAGAAGGTGGGGAATACTTCTGTAGGAAGGGTGCAGGTTCTCTTTAAATTGATTATTACCATAAAACATCAGCTCATCACTTAAGAATCTAGACAGGAAGATAAGGCAGAGAGTTAAAAACCTGGACTAGTTCTGGAGGTGTTGGGCAGCCTTGACCACAAGTCTGGTATCACTAGGAGCTGAGCCAGCTCTCAGATAGAGGGAGAAAACCCACTTGGAAATTCCTGGGCCAGTGAAATCACTAGGAAAGCCTCTGGCAGGCTAAGTTTTATATGTCTGATTTGCACATATCTGCATCATTGTACCATCTTACATGATGCTGAAACAAGAGTCAAATAATGTCCTCAGGAAAAGGCCTTACAGATAACTTGAAAGAACTGCCTTACTTTAAACAGCCCAAAATATAGAAATTTTATGGGATTTGTTGATGTGTGTGACTGTCCATAAGGCGGTCATTTGTCAGTGTCCCTCTATTTTAATTCTCTTGCATGCCTTCCTCTGTCAAGCCCCTGCTCCCTGCCCCACCAATCCCAGCCTGAGTCTCCTGATAGTGCCTGTGTCACCACAGTATGCCTGGGACTCTACAGATTGTCTATTGTGCTCGAAGTTTCTGGTGAATCTTGGTTTGGGAACAGTGTATAAAAACCCAAAAATACAAGGAAAATCACATTATTGGAGAGAAGCAATCTCCTCTCCACTTTGGGAGGTGCTGGCGCACAGCCAGGAGATCCATGGTGGCTTTGTCTGAGTAATGTAATTTCCTAAGCTTCCAGTAGAGGACTTTGGCCACGGCCAGCACCATGGCGTCTTTCAGAATGCGCCCACAGAGCTCTGTAAATGATACTTCTGAGGCCATCTCAGTGCAGAAAGGTGGCTGGCAGGGTCTTGCTCTTCATCCAGACCCCAGAACTCTATGTGCAAGGCTGAAGTGGGGAAGCATAAAGGACTTTGCTGAAGTTCTGTTCCTTCCACCAGTCTTTGCTATGAATTCCCATTTGGACCTCATACAGGCATTGAGATTTAAAGTAAGAGAAAGGAAAGGAAAATAAAGGCAAAACTGCAGGGAAAAGAAGAAAGAGCACTTGGCAAAAAATTGTTATTATTCATAACTTGGAAAGCAGAACAAAGGCTATGTTCAGTAAAATCGGTTAAATCTCTGCTCTCTCATCCGTCCACTTCAGAGTTCATTCAATTTCTTTCTTTTTTTTGAGCATGCATTGGTAAAATTCAAAAGAAATAGTAAAACAAAGTAGGAAAAATTCCCCATAAATTCCACAAACTCCAGATACCCAACAAGAGTTTTATCACATAGGCTTCCAAATACTTCAGTGTGCATACATTTTCATTCAGAAATATTTATTCATGAGGTGACTATTACTGAATACTCACCATGTGCCAGTTACTTTCTTGGATGCTGGAGATGCATCAGCAAACACAAGATGCCATCTCTCACAGAGCTTTCAATCTTGGGATGAAAATCAGACAAATGAGCAAGTAAATACACAATTCCACTTGTCCTCAACTCCCCTTATCCATGGCGTTATTTTTTGTGTTTTCAGTAACTAGCAGTCACTGCAATTTGAAATACTGGAAAATTCTAGAAGGACACAATTCAGAAGTTCTCAGTAGCACACGATTGTAGGTAGTGGGAAAGTCTCACACAGGCCCACTCTGTCCCAGCTGAACTTGTCCAGCGTACCCATGCTGCGTGTGATCCAGCCATCGGTTCAGAGCTGTGGTATCACACTATTTATGTTCAAGTAACTCTTACTTTATTTACTAATGGCCTCAAAATGTCAGAATAGTGATATGCCAAAAAAAAAAAAAAAAAGCATTAAACTGAAGCATTAAACTTTTGAGAGAACAGGTATAAGTTCTTGACTTGTATCATAACCTGAGACTGTAGGCATACAACTTGCTGTTAATCTCTCCCTGTGCCTAATTTACAAATTAAGCTTTATCACTGGTAGGTACATATGAAAAACTATAATATATAGAGGCCGCATGCCTGTAGTTCAGACACTGGCTTGGTGTCTAGGCACACATGCCCTGTGGACAGAGACAGGGGACTACTTTCTGTCAGGAAGTTGGAGGGCGAGTTCAGTGAAAAGGACTAAATTGAGTTCAGGCGCTAGGACATGACAGTGCTTATTATACTGCCGTCGTACATGGGGTCGGCAGGAAAGACGTCTCTGAGAAGTAGACATATCGTAGGAAAGTGAAAGAAGTGAAAGCCAAAGTCATTGTCGTATCCGAGAAAGAATAATCCAGGCAGAGAGAACCGTAAATACTGAAGACATGAGGTTGAAACATGTCCGGCATTTTCAAGGCCTAGCGAGAGAACAGAGAGACAGCGGAGGAGTCAGAGATCACACTGTTATGTACCTCACAGTGGGTTTTTTGGGGGGTAGCAAGGAGAGCCAAGGGGACTTGGGGTGAAGCATCTGGCTGCTTATGGATTGTAGATGGACCGGTTGGGATAAGAAGATCATCTGGGAGGCTTTTGTAGTTCTTCAACTAAGAGATGAAAACAATCTGTCTTAAGATGAAAGTGGTTTAAGTGTTTTTTATAGATTGACAGGTTAGATGTGAAAGAAGAGTCAAAGATGACCCCGGAGATTGGCCTGAAAATGAGGTGTTCATTTAATGTAAAAGTGGTGGTAGGAAGAATGTGTTTAGGGAACAAACATCAAACATGATGCTGTTTTATACATTTTATGTCTGTTTGGCCATCCTTACGTTACATGGGCAACTGAATGAGATACAGGTTGGAAACTTAAACTGGTGAATGAGAATGGATAGCTCTTTGGTCTGCTATCATTACCAAATAAACAGTCCTCAGGTGCAAGGCCAGGGTTCTGATCTGCAGCAGTTGCTGACTCCCATGGTATAAATGCTCCAGTCATGGCCAAGTTGAAACACTTCCGTGACTTCATTGAATGTGCAGCTGGGGAAAGATCCATAGTCTCAGCTTTTGTGATCCAGTACAGCTTTTGTGGTCCTGCTACAGCATGCCCTTGCTTCTGATATTTGTAAAGCTATGAATTAAGATAGCACAAGAATGATTCTACAGCAGTCACCACATGCACAGGAGAGGAAAAGGGGCCATTACGTGACATTAAGAAGGACTGACCAGTAGGTTGAAGGATAATCAAGGAAAAAGAGAATCTGGCAGACTATCTGAAGGCAGTTTTTCAAGAGAGAAATGATCAGGCATGTCAGGTGCCAGTGAAAAGTCAATGAGAACAGAGAAACTGTAATTTAATTTGACATCATAGGAATTATTGAACTTGATAAGTAGTTTTAGTGGATTTGTGGTGATGGCTGTGAGCTCAGGAATAAAGTAGAATAAAGGAAGAAGAAATGGTGAATATAGGCAAATCTTCTGTTTTACTATACAAAATATGAAAGTCTTCTTCATGGATAGAAAGAATATTGTCAAGATGTCAGTTCTTTCTGAGTCTACAGACATGATGCAATCCCAGTCATAATCTAATCCTAAAGGTTACAGTGAAAAGCAAAAAACTTGAAATAACAAGCACTATTAAAAACATACAAACACAAACAAAATTAGAAGAATGATATTACTTGACTTTAAGACTTACTGTAAAGCTAAAAGATTGAGATATTGTGAAGGAAGAGACAGATAAATCAGCACAACAGAAAAGAGAGCCCAGAAATAAATACCTATAGGTATGGGCCCCTGATCTTTGACACAGAAGCAGGGGCAAGGGAATGGAGAAAGGTATTTTTGTCAATAGATGGCACTTGGACAACTGGACATGCATATGCAAAAAAGGAAGCCAGGTGTAGACCTAACATCCTTCATAGCACTTAACCCAAAGTAGGCCCTCAAAAAGCCAAAAGTTTATTTTGTAGCAGAATCTTCATGGGCCAAGTGTGGTGGCACACGCCTGTAATCCCAGCACTGTGGGCACTAAGGCAGAAAGATTGCTGTGTGTTAGAGGCCAGCCTGAGCTACAGAGTGAGTTCAAGGCCAGCCAGAACTGCATGGCTAAACCCTGTCTCAAAAACACCCCCACCCTGAAAAAAGAATCCTGTATTTATTAATTTTATCTTCTTGTGTTTGCTAATTTTGTTACAGAATCTTTTTTTTTCCTAAACTAAATGCCACAAACCACACCAGAGATAATCAAATAGAATTCAGAAATTACTTCTAAATAAATCTTCTTCCATCAGATATTCTGAGACTATTATTGCAGAAGTCTTTCCCAGGAGTCGTCACTGAAATTTTGCTTAACTTTAAGAAACATCAATTCCTCCCCAGCCCAAGTTTCTCTTTGGAGTCAAAATTTGTGTTTTTAGAAGAAAAGCCCTTTACCATCACACTGTCAGGGGTGTCCTTCAGGGTCCAAGTCCAGCTAGCCAAAAAGCATGGTTGTCTGCCTCATCCTCCTCTTCCTGGTTACTGGCCAGAAGCAGCCATCAGGAAGGATGTGTTGCCAACTGCGGTGTCTAATTTTCAAGGTCACTGCACTGACTCGTCCAATCAAGTCTCACTGCACCCCAACGTTGGCTCCACTGCCACACTTGTGTAGGACAAAATAACCAGCCAACACTGGAGAGATCCTCCCCACACATCCAAGTGCCAGGGCTGTGTCAAGTTGAACAAACCTGGTGATGTTAAGGCTTTCTCTATTTTTGGAGAAAAGAAGTCTGGTGGAAGAACTGGTATGGTACCCAAAAGTTCTAGAGCAGGTTCTCTCACATCTGGAGTCTCGATTTTGTTGTGTGCAAATAATAGCTAAAGAACCTCTGCATTTCTAGCCACTGTACTTCTTCTTAATTAGGTATCTGAAAACCTCATTGGCTCATTTATGCATTGCAGAGTGCTACTGCTGGCAATTCATTAAACTATTGCTGGCAATTTATAGTTATCTTCTAGCAGACCTAACTTACTCCAAACCAGTGGCTTTGACACGGCCCTGTGTATTTACATATCTGAATGTAGGGAAAGAAGTTCTGGCATGGACCGAGGCAGAGTTTAGAGATTCCCTTTCCATGGTTGATACTCACAGCGTACACTTACTCCACATTCACTCATTAATCCATTCTTTTATTGAGCATACCTTTATTGAGAGCTTGCCATGTTCTTGGCACTCTTTTAGAAAATCAAGCAGGTAAGAATCCTGCCATCAATAGTCCTTGAGATAGAAGAGTGAGATAAGAGACTCCACAGTTTTTAAAAACAATTTCAGATAATGAATGCCATAGACAAAACTATGTGAGGAATATGACTTGAGAGGGAAAAGGACTTGAGAGAGGGGAGCAGGGCTGTGGGGTTCATGGGTGGCCACCTGAGATAGATGTCCTGTCAGGACAGCGGCTGAGCGCTGTGTGGAGGAGTGTGATGAGGCATATTTATTGATGTCCCTCTAGCTCAGATGTGTAAGCTGGGACTCACATGAGCAAGTGATCTTTTCCCCTTCCTTTGTTTACAGCGAAGGAGAAAGGCGAGAAGAAGTTGTTTGGTTTCTCTTTTGTGCCCCTGATGCAGGAAGATGGTCGGACTCTTCCAGATGGCACACATGAGCTCATCGTGCATAAGGTACTTTCAGTCATGAGTTGTTTTGAACTGCAGGAAACCAGGCACAACAGTCAACTCACACTTTCACCATTTCTTTGGGCAACAAAACAAAAAGACTGAAAAGAACACTGTTCCCTAAGGTCGCTGGCAGGGAATGTCTTTCTGATGCTATTGTTTCTATATATGTACTCTGTCATATGCTAAACATACTTTAAAGATTCTTTGTGGTCTGTGTGTATTGGGGGAGTGATCCAAGAGCCTCTGCAGTGACCTATATCCCTAGCCCACCCACTGCCTTTATTAAGGTTTTTTGAGAAAGGAATGGGGTCCATTGCCAAGATGCGTAGGTTGAGCTCAAATTTGCAAAACAGCTACCTCATCCTCCCTTAGTGCTTGGATTACAGGTGTGTGCCACCACCGTGGATTTTTTTCAGTTTAAGTTAGGGCCAGGTGTTTGGGTAAATCTGGATATTGACCTTAAAATCCTTTCATTGCTGTGATAGCATTAAGTAAACCTTACAAATCACATTAAGTACTGGCAAAACTTTCTTGTATATTTGTTTGACCCCTGAATTTTTTGTTTGTTTGTTTTTTGCTATACACTTTGTCATGACAACTTTTGCAGATTTTTTTAAGTCGAGTTGTCATGAAAATATTTGAAACAAAGTGCTGTTGTATGTATCAGCAAGCAAATTCAAAAAGTGAGCACCTCATAGAAATGATCCGAGAATGCTGACAATAATGAAGTATAAAATAAAAATATATTTTGAATACACAGCCAGCATTTCTACAGTGTATCTCTCCATTTCTTTGACTTTGTGATGGTCCAGGCTTTAAGGAACTCTCATCTGTGCTCATTATGGGTCCACTGACCTGGGTGTTAACTCCTCAGGTGCTAGTTCTACCCAGACTTCAGGGTGACCTATCTACAATGCCAGGCCACCCAGGTCACTTTGTAGTTCCGGAGCTCTTCAGAGGCTCCTCCATGGTGCAAGAAACAATCCCAGGCTTCTTGGGATGTACCACTGCTTACCCAAGCTTCATTTCTGCCATTCCTTAACTCTTCGTGCTGCAGCCACACCGGGTTCTTTCTACTTCCTTATTTCTCCCTGCTGGTTCTGTCACACCTGCCCTGGCCTTGAACTCCTGAAGTGATGCCTTCCTCTGCTGCTCCTGCTCACTCTTTCCTGCACTTCCTCTGATGCTCGCCTTCACCCCAGCCTCCCTCAGGAGCTGTACTCCCCATGTTCACAGCAGTGCTCTCTTGATCTCCCTAAGCTTCTGCCTGTATTTCTTACCATTGTACTCAGTGCACTGTCCCACATTCATCTGATGATCCTTCAGCTTAGCCCAGTAAGTTCTTTATAAAATCGTGGTACTAGGGATTTAACCCAGGACCTCTGCACTGAGATACAGCTCAGTAAATTTTTGAGATAGGGTTTTTCTAAGTCACTAAGTGGCTCAGATTGGGTTCTGCATTAGTCCATCAGATTTCCCATTGCTGAAATATAGTATCTGAAATTCACAGCTTAAAAGAAAAGAGTTTTAATTTATCTTACAGTTTTGAGGATTCTGTCCGTGTTAGCCAGCTCCAAGGCAGGAGCATTATGGCAGAAAAGCATAGGGAAAAGAAGCTGCTCACCCCCTGGCAGCCAGGAAGCAGGGAAGTGGGGAGGCTGGGACAGGGGAACCCTTCCAAGCTGTGCACCCAGCGACCTCAAACCCTACTAGGCTCCACTTCCTAGCAGCACATGCAGTCGAGCGCTCAGCAAGGCAGAGAGAAGAATGGTGTTCACCAGACACCTAGACCTTTGTATCTGAGGTGCCTTTGTAACAGGTAAGTAATGTAACAGCAGTGTCTTCAACCACTGTTTTCTGAAAGACATAAATGATATAGATGTCCCTGACATTAAGTCTTGACTCAGAATAGTCAGGATATAGTCAGGATAAGGTAGTTAAAACTAGGCTCATAGAAGAGTGGATCAGTCTTTTATCACATGTCACATGTGGACACAGTCGCTGTGGGCTGGAAGATGCTTCTTTGGCACAAGCTTTTTCTCAAGGCAAGCGCTGGTTGACTTCTCTCGGTGAATATGAATGATACTATGATTGTCAGTTATTGATGAGAGAGACTGTGTGCTTCAGTGCCAGACCTTGAATTCCTCTGTGAGCAGGGGTCTATCAGTTCTGACAGAGGCTTATCTACTCCCTTGTCAGACACCAGTCAGCAAGGCCAGAACTTTCCGCAGCAGAGCTCTGAATGAGCTCAAGCCCCTGCCCTGAGTATTTGGAATTCTGATCCATGAAGGGAAGTCCATTTGAGGTGAAATAGTTTAAAGGCAAGTATCCCTGTAATTGTTCTCAAATACACGCAGGGCTCAGGGTGGTGTCTATAGGTGTCTAATGGTGCCAAGTCTATATTGTAGGAACCCCAGTGTTAGTGCCACAGCACCCCCAAGTAGCTGTTTTTCTTATAAATGTGGCTAGTGTTGCCTGAGGAGTTACAAAATACTTGCCAAGAGCAACAACTTCCGTTTTTAGCCCGGTTGCTGATGTGGTTTTCTCTGTCATAGCATTGAGCCCAGAAGTTTACTTTCATCATAAGGCCGCTTACAGTTTATCATATTACCAGCATAACTCTTGTCCTTAAGGAAGCACAGGGTCTGCTGATGATTATAGTCTTAAATTTGTTAGTGAAAAAGAAATATAGGGGAGAAGTAGATTTCAAATCCTTGGCTAAAACTGAGCACATTCAGTAAGTGTTTATATGACTGTGTTGGGGGGGGGCAGTTCCCCCTTCCTCCTTTCCAACTCAACTTCATTCATTACAAGTTTGGAGTGGTTTCCAGTGGAAGGAAACTCTTGAACCCTACAAAAATCTGAATGCTGTTGCTCTAGACAGGTGAGTGAAATACTGTGACTTAATCACGCCTCTTCCCAGATTTTGTCTCTCTAAAGCCCCTTTCGAAGCTCTCCCAGCATAGGTAATGTCCCCAATTGGCTGGAGAAGGGTCTAGAGCTTTCCTTTGGAGTTCTTAGTTACAGCATTTAATCGTAGAAAGTTTTGTTATCTTATTGCATTGCTTAGGATTATATCTTCCTTAACATTATAGAGGTCTTTTTGCCTATCTTCCTCTCTTTACCTGCGGGAAAAGAAGGTAAAAAGAGACAGACGCAGTGAGGGGTAAAGGAATTCACTCTCCAAAAGCCAAGTCTCTTTAAAGAGAATGATACAAGAATCCAGAAGGAGGCTAGGTACAACAGCTGACTGTGCACTGGGCTCTGTATTCTGACTGACTCTCCCGGAGGACTTTGAGCCACTGGAAGTACATTCTGAAACATTCTCAGGTGCAGCAAAAATAAAAACAATGCTGTCTGCCTTTAAGAAATCAGGGTGGTCTTCATCAGTGTTGATTGTCTAACACCACCATGGCTAAGATGGCCCAACTCAACCAAACTAGGGTTTTGCTTAGTAGAGGGATTTATTGAGGTCCTAATCCAGTGCATCTAGAAAGGAAATGGGCCAGATAGGCCAGCCGGATAGAGGATTGATACTGTTTCCTGGGTGGACAGAGTCAATTTAATGTGATAGCCCATATTGCAAAAGTCTGTTGCAGGTTATTTATGTTTGCTACCTAAAAATCTGTCCACAAACCTCTGTGGCCCACGTTTTTGGTTCCTACAGGTTTTCAGTCTTGTTCCCAGCTTCTCCATCCTAGTCCAGCACTGCCTCTTTTCACTGGATACTGGCTTTGCAGTGGACCTCACAGACTCCTTGGAAACTTGATCTCCTCTTACCCTGAAGTTCAGGGTAGCCCTTCCCTTCATATGTTTGTATTCCTAAATAAAATTAAAAGACAAAGGGAGTCTGGAACTTTAGACCAATATATTTGCTGCTAAGCTTACTGGCTTGATTTTTCTCACTGCTGAGACAAAATACCTGACACCCAAAGTTAAAGAAGAAAATGCTTATCGTAGTTCATAGTTTAAAGGTTTCAGTTCATAATTGGCTGGCTCCCAGGCAGGGTGGCATGGCAGAGGGCATCATGGAGGAGAAACAGTGCATGGCAGGCGGAAGGCACCGATGCATCACAGTAGCAAAGAAGCAGCAAACAATGCAGCAGCCTTCTTTCTGTTCTTCAGATTCTTTCCAGGCCGTCTGCACTGAGGGTAGGTAGCTCTCATGCCCGCACTGAGCCTTCCCCTTATTCACACCCAGGACTGTGTCAGATCAATCAGTGGAGTCATTTAGTAATTACACATCCTAATCCCAGCATTGCACACTTAATTCCAGCATCATACGCCCTAGCTCCAGCTGGAAGCCCCACCTGTGACCACATGAGGCTTTGGGGAGATGTCTACACATGCACTGTCGTGCTCACTGAACATGCTACGCTGAGAATTCTGAGAGATTACCCTGTAAACATGATCAGTAAATGTTAGACAAGCAAGAAATATACCCATCCACCCCAGGACTGAGGGTGGAGTAATTGATCACTTCACCCTTACTTCAGGACACACCGGGAGAGAAATTAACAAACAAACACATGCAAAACTTTTTAAAAAGTAATGTCCTAGGAGGTCTAGCATAACAGTATATCCCAGATGACCACAGAAGCTAACCAGAAAAAGAAACACAAGATATCTTAATATGCTAACACTTAGGGCTTTGTTTATGTGAATCCCGAAAGCCTCCTGTGCTTGCTAGTTCACACTGCCTCATCCTCCCCAAATGCACTACTTTAAGCGAAACCTTCTGCCCTCTATGGAGAGGGCTTCTGTGTAGTGAGCTTGTCTTCTGAAGCCTCGGGTCCACTGCTCAGGGGCCAGCTGTCTCCAGATGCCCCCGTGCCTTTCAGAAGTACCTACCAGTTCCCCATCCTGTTGCGAAGCCCTCGCCAGCCCTCTGCAGGGCTCAGTTCTCACCCAGTGTGCTGAGGCCGGTGAGGAAGGGGTGGGGATGGGGCGGCAGCTGGCGGGTTCCTTTGCAGTCAGCCTAGCCTCTGGTTCACGGTCTCACT